AATTTATTGAATAATTAAATGATTATGGTTAATCTCTATTTTCTTGAAATATCAATGCTAAAATGAATAGAAGTAAATTTCATACTCACACTGGTAATTATTGGATGATTAACCTTCTATTTTTTGAAACATCGATATAAAATAAATAGAATTAAACCTCATACTCACACTGGTAATTTATTGAATGATTAAATGATTATAGTTAACACTCTATTTTCTTGAAATATCGATGTGAAAATGAATAGAATTAAACTTCATACTCTCTCTAGTAATTTATTGAATGATTAAATGATTATAGTTAATCTTATTTTTTAAAAATATTAATGCTAAAATGAATAGAAGTAAACTTCATACTTATACTGGTAATTATTAAAAGATTAAATGATTGTGGTTAACCCTCTATTTTTTTGAGATATTGATATAAAATGAATAGAATTAAACTTCATACTTATACCTGGTAATTTATCAAATGATTAAATGATTACGGTTAACCTTTATTTTCTTGAAATATCAACATTAAATGAATAGAATTAAACTTCATACTCACACTAGTAATTTATTGAACAATTAGATGATTATAGTTAAACTTTATTTTTTTTAAAATATCAATGTAAAAATAAATAGAATTAAACTTCATACTCATACTGGTAATTTATTGAATGATTAAATAATTACGGTTAACCTCTATTTTCTTGAAATATTAATGTTAAGATAAATAGAAGTAAATTTTATACTCACTCTGGTAATTTATTAATTAAATGATTACAGTTAATCTCTATTTTCTTGAAATATCGACGTGAAAATGAATATAATTAAACATCATACTCACATAAATGATTATGGTTAACCTCTATTTTCTTGAAATATCAACACTAAAATGAATAGAAGTAAACTTCATACTCACTCTGGTAATTTATTGAACGATAAAATGATTATGGTTAACCCTCTATTTTTTTGAGATATCAACGTAAAATGAATAAAATTATATTTCATACTCATTATGGTAATTTATTAAATAATTAAATTATTATGGTTAACCTCTATTTTCTTGAAATATCGATATTAAATGAATAAAATTAAACTTCATACTTACACTAATAATTTATTGAACAGTTAAATGATTACAGTTAACCCTCTATTTTTTTGAAATATCAATATGAAAATGAATAGAATTAAACTTCAAACTCACTCTTGTAATTTATTGAACGATTAATAACTATAATTTGTCATTAATATGAGTTAGTTTACATTGGAATTCTTATAATTTCTATTGTGAGTATTGCAGTTTCAGAACTAGTACTGTAAAGATTCTGTTGCAATTATACTTTTGACACAGTATGTGGTTCACTAATGCACGTTGTTAGCATTATCTATACCTCAGTTAAAATATCAAACATATGTAGAATGATAACGCACGAAAGTTGATTTTTAAAAAATCATTAATAAATAATTGAGTTGTAATATTATCATGTAGAAGACTGTGAATGTCATGGTCAAGACGTAACTTGGATGCCTTGATTTTCATGATATATCGTATATTTTTACTATAAAGTTTGGCTTATATTTAGTAAACACGATCAAACCCTCTTAGGAATGCATCATCTAATTATGGAAACGTAGCTAAAATCGGGAATAATTTGAGAGTAAATAAAACTTATTAATGTATTTTTAGTATATATGTACGTACGTACGTACATACATAATTTCAAATAAAGTTTACATAGCGATGCATACATCTTATTATGGAATCAAAAGTCGTCGAACTTAAAAAATCTTATAAATACAACCCGAATACGTTAAAAAATTTTTGGGGGCATGCTCAGAGCTATCATCGCAACTCAACGCAGATCAGCTTATATAGCGCATATAAGATAATATAAAATTTTTCACGAAAATCCTTTCCGCTTTAGTCTAAAAGGAAATGTGGCGGATCACGAGAAAGATAGCAACCAATAAATAAGATGCCTATCGCAAATCATAAACTTCATTGGAAGTGATCTGCTGCATGCCTACAGAAAAATATGAGAGGGTTAAATGGTTTTTTAAAAAAACTTTCAATAATTATATTGTTTAAGACCTAAAGAATATAGGAAAATGTTAAATGGTGCACCACTAGATCAAGGATAACTCACAATCAAGCGACGAATCTAATATATAAAAATCATTAAAATTCTACCTATTGAATCGTAAGATATCTTTGACCTCATATAAAATTAGTTTCTAATATTTCTTTAATTTTGGGATTATTTTGAATTATTTTTAATGAAAAGTTCGGTTGACAAAAAGGTATAACTGTCGGAAATTTTCCACAAAAATCACGGGCCACATCTTTTTGACGATTGTGCCGATCATTTCCAAATTCGTGCCTATTAAATTCAAACGGACATTAGAAAAAAGTAAATTTTTAATTTTTACAATCATATAAAATTACTATTCGAAAGACAAGGATAAAGACGTTCTAATTTATATAAATTGTGTAGTTCCAACTATGGTATCTCTCGTTGAAGCAAATTATAGGCTGATTGATGAAATAAAACATATCATCATAAACCTTAAAAGAAGTAAAAAAATCTTTGACCCAATTGTTCATTCTTCTTCAGAAACTGTACAGCTTTACATTATGTAAAAAATGAAGTTGAATTATATTATCAGCAATATGAAGATATTTTTTATAAATACAAAATTTCGTTAGAAAACATAAAAGAATTCGCAATGAAATAGTGAGTATAGAAAACAGGTTATTTTATCCGTATAATAAAGTAAAAGACAAATATGAAAAATTGTTAGAGGAACATGAGAATTGCGAAAAAAGATTACTTCCAATTCTAATAAAGACTATAATGAACAAACAAGAAAGACAACAAGAAAATTTTATAAATGTTTATAAGGTACCGTATATTTGCAATTGCGATTGTGTTTAAGTAAAAAAAAAAAACTCTATCTAAAAAAAATGATTTACCATTCTTACGTGTAATAGATTTTAAAAACTATTCTAATGATAATAAAAATGAACATATAATTAAAATTGAAGAAATAATTCAAAACTTGCTCGAAAAATCGGAGTTAGAAATCAGTTTACCACGTATCGATTCTACGTTATTATTTGATCCTCCTATTGTAGGTGACTCGAAATTAATTTTCGAAAATGAACCTGATAGGAAACCAGTATATGATCTAGATGACGATATACAATCGAAACATAATGTAAAGAAGATTTATAAACGTGGTGTGGAAGTGTCATGTGAACCCATTAATATTTTCGATCAAAACATTTCAATTTTGAGTGAATTTAAAAGTCGAAATATCCTTAGATTTTATGGACTTTCAAAAGTTGATGATGATGATGTGTTGGTATTTGAGTGGGCAGGCTTGGGTAATTTAAAGACTGTTTACGAAAAGAAAGAAATTTCTTGGGACTTAAAAGTGAAAATTGCACATGATATTTGTCAAGGTTTATTATTTTTAAGTCATCATGACCTTTTTCATCGTGACCTTCGATGTGAGAATATAATGGTAAATTTGTTTTAGATTTATTTCAATTTTGATAAATTTTAATCAATGATCATAAATTTCATTTATCCATTTATTTATTTTTATTGTCCATTTATCGTAGATGACCTATTATATGGAACCGAAAATCTCGAATTTTTACTTCGCAAAGTATGCTTCAGAAATAAAACCAGATAATAATCATATCTTGAGTATTATCAATTGGTCGGCACCCGAAATGATGCAAAAGAATGCCCTATATACACAAGAATGTGAAAATTTCAGGTATCCATTATAAAGACCTTTCTTATTGTAGCAACTCCAATTTGTGTCAATGGTTATATTGATACTGCATACACTGTTATTTCTATAGTTTCATAATGCTTTTATGGGAACTAGCTTTCCAAAGGATTCCGTATGAAAACATGAATAAAGAAGATATTATTGACCATGTTACACGTGGTCGTAGAGAATCCTTATATTCACCATTTTTCACATTGGACTTTCTTAACGTTCAAAAAAAATACTTAAGAATCATTGCAGATGGTATTGATATCAATTATTATTTTTTAAATAGGATCCCACAGCAAAAATTGGAGCCGAGTCAACAGATCAATTTTAAGATCTTATTTATAGAAGTTTATTTTTTAAAAAAAATAATTACATATTTAAATATTGGGCTATGCAAAATTGATTAATTGGTTTTCATAGCTCGACCAGGTCAAATTCTGGAGCAAAAATACCGTTCCTGATAGATTAAAAAAAATAAATTTGCTCAAGCTTTAAACCAAGATGTCTCGACAACTACCTGATCAAATTTGATGAAACTTTTTTTATTTGAATTATATGGATTCACAAAATTCAATTAAATTTTTTTTCACCGAATATGATTAGGTGGTTATCGAGCTATCCTCGCTCAAAAGTTTTTTATTTAAAAAAGAAGCATATCAAATTAGAATTTTTTCTAAAACTTTGAGCGAAGATGTCTTGACAACCAAATTTGATGAAATTTTTTTTGTTTATATTCTATGGATCCATAAAATTCAAAAGAAAAAAATTTCATAGAATTTAGTCAGGTGTCGAAATATCTTCGCTCAAAGTTTAGAAAAAATTCCATTTTGATAGGCGTTTTGATTTTTTAAGATTTTGAGCGAAGATATCTCGAAACCACATAAACAAATTCGATGAAAAAAAATTAATTTGAATTCTGAGTCCAAAAGAATTCAAATAAAAACATATGGGCAGTTTGTGCTCATTTTGTGATGTCTAAATATGATCACATTGGTCTAATTGTGATTATGTATCGGTATTTAGCATATTTTAATCTAATTAATTTAGATATGATTAAATAAGCAATTTTAATGTGATCAATTTTTAATATCACAAAATGAGCACGATCGTACATATGAAAGGTTTTATCAATTTTGATAAGGTATTGTCGAGATATCTTGATTTTAAGATAGTTATATTTTTACTGGGGTGCACAGTATATACATTGTTTTTTTTTTTTTTACTCTATCAGGAGCGGTATTTTAAATTTTTTTCTATTTTAATAACTGGGTTGGGTTAAAAATTTTATACAAACTTTATGAACTTCTTATATATGAAATTCAAAGCAAAAAGCCGATCTCCGGGTCTATTTAGAAGTTTCATATTATGAAAATCAAGAGATTAAATTTCTTTGTCCTTATTTTAATCTTTCATTTATTACTATAGTAAAGTGAATTATTTGATGCTTTTCAATTATTATATTTTCATAACCACATTATTGTCCTAATACCACCTTTTGCTGTGGGGCTCCCAACCGATTTTCTATTCATGAACTATGTACTAATGTTTATAAAAATCCTTTATTGAGTAAAGGATGGGATGATAAGCCATATAAAAGGATCAGGTTGGATAATATTTTATTGGAATTTTCAGATATTGAAGCTAAACTTACCAAACTTAGGAGAAATAATTTTGGTTGCTTCTATTCATCTGATCGACTCGATAATCCTTACGATGAGTCCGTGAAAGAAACACTAAAAAACCTAGAACCTGAAAAAAAACCGAGAAGTGTTTTTGGGAGCGACGCTCATGATGATGCCTTCACCATTAGCAAAGAATATCATAAAACAGATATCTTTATAGCAGTTCAGGACTCAGTTTCTTCTGAAAGGTATAAAGAGATTGTGTCTAAACAAAGAGATGATGGTTCTATTGAATTGGATGATGTAGTATGCAATGAATTAGAGGTACTTAAAGAAGAAATTATCACTGCGATCCAAGAGAATGTCACAAATGAGATGCTTAAATTATCCGAACTCCCGTCATTATTTTCAACTGCTATTAATCTTTCTTATCTTAAAAATACCGCATCTAAATTTGAAGATCAATGGAAAGATAAATACAATAAAGCTCGTGAATATCTCTCAAAGCAAATAGGTAATGCAGCTGCTGAGAAAGAACTTTTGGAGTTCACGGATAATTATGTAATTGATAATTACGCGAAAAAAGCCATTAAAGATAAAAAGAAGTCTTCTGTTGTACGTGTTCAAACATCATTAATTCCCGATAAACATGAAGCAGTAGTATCTAAAGAAGATAGACCCATTGAATTGTATGAGACTATTTGTAAAGAAATAGAAGACCCTACGGAAGACATTGTGATTACAGTCAAATTGAATACTAATAACAAGAGATTAAACTTGATACTCGAAACGAAACCTATCCAAAACTAGCTCCGAAAGCCTTAATCCAAAACTAAAAATCGAAATCCCAAAACCCCGAAAATATAAACTGAAACTTCTGAAATTTATAAGAAAATAACCAACTAAATTACACATAGAGAATACCCACAGGGTACAAATTGAAATCCCAATTTATAATATATTATTTATTTATTTCATAATATGGATCTTATTTAATATAGATGGGCATATAAGATATGTAATAACTATTAGCGTAATAAATAAAACCTATATCTCTATATTACACCCTTGCTATATATAAAAAAATAACTCTAACCTACTCATCTATATATATATAAGGTAGCTGCGCGACATTGTCAAGTAAAACCAGGAGCGAAAGGTAGATTTCAGCAGATTAATTAATTCATACAGTAAAAGCGTGACATAACGCTCAGGGGCGTTAATTTGAAAATTAGATATCCCTAAAATATCATATGCAGCATGCCCATGGGCGTCTAGGATTAACGCGCATCCCTATAAATAAAAACTGTATAAAAAAATAATAAATAAATAAACCTATTTTTCGGCCTTAACAAAATGTAGTTCTTCAGATCGAGAAGGTTCTAACGATAGTAAAATCATCAAACCGGTCCAGTAGTTCGCCGAAATGGCTTTTCAAAGTTGTTTACATGATGTAAACTAAAGTAAGCAAACGTTGCGAAACTTTAAAGAGTCATTGCGGGTGAACTACTGGACTGTTTTTGATGATTTTACTACTAATAGAATCTTCTCGACCTGAATAATTACTTTTGTTAATGCCAAAAAATAGGTTTACTGTATTTAATAACATACCCAGTCCCGGTCAGGGTTGCAGGTAGTAAATTTACCATAGTAAAATTATGGTAATTTACTGGTAATTTACCAAAGATGTGGTAAATTTACTTTTATATACTTAAGATAAAGTTTGTCTATATAATTTGATTGGCCAAAAAAAATTTTTTAATCATCAAATCACATGATTTTATATTACATAAACCTTCTTAAGAATAACTAATGGTAAATTTACTAGTAATTTATCAAACAGCCTGGTAAATTTACCTAAAAATTTTAAAAATTATGGTAAACCAACAATACTAGTCCCAGTGCACTTTTAATTCATATTATAAATAAATACTATTTATTGTGAGGGACCAACATGAGGTTGGTCCAATGTGAGGTCAATTGGTATTTTTTATGATTATTAATCACTGGCGGACTTTAAATACTAATTAACCTCATGTTGGAACCAACCTCATGTTGGTCTCTCACATTTTATTATAATTAGGTGTGCAAATTCAATCCTTATTTTGAAATAATGCATATGCATGTATTCAAGATCACTTAATTGACACACAGGTGAGTGTTATTCACGCTTGTACAGTTGATTTTAACCTGAGATTTTGACAGTTATGCCTATTTAATTTCATCAATTTTGCCATTATTCACTTACACAATTTCTACCAGCTTTGCCTATTTAGCTTTATATATTCAGTGAGTTGGTATAATAGCAGTCTAATTGGTTTCAATGTTGTTTGTCTAATTATTTTAAGTTGTCACTTACCTTTTATAATTGTACTATTATAGTCATGTTAATCTTACCTTCATCAGCAAGTATATACATTTTTTATAAAATCTACATAGATCTTCAACTTTATATAGTTATTAAATAGAATACTATATAAAAAGAGGGCCGATTTTTGTATGCACTATTTATATATTAATTACTAATTATAATTATTTTTTACATATTTGTTTTGTTTATATATTAATTACTAATTATAATTAATTTTTTATGTATTTATATATTAATTACTAATTTAATTATTTTTTTACATGTTTATATATTAAATACTAAATATAATTTTTTTTTAAAAAAAAATTTGAACAGTCATGTCACATGCCCAGCTTTATTTATATATTTTAATTGTTCAAAAATAATTGTTATGCAATGTTATTTTGACAAAAAAACTTGAATGTGGCTCACCCGATTACTTTTAGGTCTCTAAATACTACTAGCATCTATGTGCGACCTGCCAAAGATGAATTCAGCCTCTCTGGTTTGTTCCAACTAGAGGTTAGAAGAATCTGCCCAGATCACTGGCCTGGTTCACTGACCTGTTATGACTGTCTTCTTTTTCAACCTTCTTCTCCTAGCCTTCTAGATAGAAAAATCTACTAACAAATAATGGGAAATTTAAAAAATTAAAAAAAATAAAAAAAGAGTAAAATACTAAACTAAGTGAAATCGCAATTTGTTTCAAGGAACTCTTCCCAATGATCACCTGGACCAAAATTTTTTTGCTAAAGAAAAACCAGAACTACTTGTTGGAGAGTTGTGGCCAATACAGTGGCTTATCTAGAGATTAACTATTACTCTTGGGGACTCCTCTAAAGAAGGACTTTTGGCATGCAAGCCAGGAGCGTTATTATACAAGATAACTAGCAGGTGGTGCCCTTGTATAAAAAATCTTGGTGGAGTATAGGTGGGTGGCCCAACTCTATCGGTGAAGCTGTTAGGTCATTACTTCAATAAAGAACACAGGGGAAACAACAAGAAGCTCTGCTTGTTCAACATACTCGTTTAAAAAAATTTTGAAAGTACTTGCAACTCTCTCCTCTCATTTCTGCTTTCCTTCAGTTTTCCAAAATTTTTTCTCAAAAAGTGGGGATTTGGCTTATCCCCTCCAAAAGATTAATATTGTTTATATTCCAAATCCGGAAAGCCTAGTAGATTACAACCATGTGTTCGATGGATACGGTGTTACTAATTTGGAAAGGTCCTGAGTTCTAGGTTAGAACCAAATATTCTGGAGTCAGTTATATAGTTGAAAAGAAACAATGACGTTAAGGTAAAGCTTTATAGTAGAGATATACAAATATTGTATTTGTTATATAATTTTTATACTTGCCTGGCACAGGTTATAATAGTGCATTTTTTTTTTCTTTTTGTTTGTTTTTGTGCTACTTCTTGATAGAGATAGCTGCTATTTCTCTCAGAAGATAGCTTTTCTTGTTCAGCCTGTTAGGGCTTATCTCTTTGTTTTTTCTTTTTTTACATTTTCTGTTTCCTCCATTTTTATTTCTTATTTTTTTCTCTTTCTTGTTTTGTATCTTTTTTTGTATATAAGCTCCTTTTCTTCTTGATGTACGTTCTAGGTTTAAGAATATAGAACATTATTTTCTTTTGCTCTTGGTAAAGAAAGTAAGAATGAAGAGATAGGCTCTTGGCGGGCTGACAAGGTCTTCTAATTTACATGTAGATTGGTGTGACATGTTGCTCTTGGGCATACTAGATGCAGCTAGGTAATGTCGGGCTTGCAATTTTTATACTGTTATTATCATTCTATCTGAGGTTGTTTAATAAAGTATTGTATTTGAGCTCTGGCAAGACTGTCAAAGAGCTAAAAAAAAAAACTAAATAAAAAGAAAAAACAAATAAAAAAAAAACAAAAGAAAGAAGAAGAAGGCTGCAAAAAAGACAGCCATAATGACACTATTTTTGCCTGTGCCAGGCTATAAAAATTATATAATATTGTATAAAAAAAAAATCTACTCTAACACTATATATAAAAAGAAGAAAAAGAAAGAAAAAGAAAAATGAAAAGCAGTATCTATGCTGTTAGAAATTTCATAATGTGCTTGTTTCAACCATCTACAAAAGCAGTCTTTATTTATTTAGCCAATGCCATATGCCAAATTCACCATGCCAGATTTCTTTTCGTTAGATGCAGTCCAATTTGAAAAAGATCGGGTAGCTATATGCCAAATTCACTCATGCCAGATTCCTCTTTGTTAGACACAGTCTAATCTGGAAAGGATCGAGCTACTTAAAGTATCATCACCAACAGTTGTTTGAAACAGGTAGTTAGGAATGCCCAGTTGTTAAAACTTCAAAATACCAAAAGTGCAAAATAAAAATGTACTGTTACAACCTGTGCTAGGCTGATAAAAATTATATAATAACTGCAATGGTTGTATATCTCATATGTAAGACTTCACTTTAAGTTTATATTTTTTTGACTAGTCTGCTACCTTTAAATAGCTCTTTAACCAATAGGTACTGAGGTCACAATTCAGGTTCTGTGATGTAGCACCGTAACTATAAACAAATATGACACATAGTTGTATTCTACTAAGTATATCCGAATTGGAAAAGTAAACAATGCTGATTTTTTGGAGAGGCAACCAAATCCCCACTTTTTGGGAAAAATTTTGGAAGACTAGTAGGGAAGCAGGAGTAAGAGAAAAAGGTTGCAAATACTTTCAAAAATTTTCAAATGAGTATGTTGAAAGAGTAAGATTTTTTGTTGTTTTCTCTATATTTTTCTTTGAAATAATAGCCTAATATCTTTGTTAATGAAGTTGGGCTTTACCTCCCATACTTCACCAAAATTTTTTATACAAGAGTACTGCCTGTCAGTTATCTTGTAAAATAATACTTTTAGCTTGTATACTAAATGCCCCTTTAGAGGAGTTCTTTAGAAAAGCAGTTGATCTCTAGACAAACTACTATATAGGCTATGTCTCTTTAACAAGTTATTATAGTTTTTCTTTAGCAGAAAAATTTGGTACAGATAATTGTTAGAAAGAGTTCATTATTTATTTAATACTAAATATATATATATATATATATATATATATTTTTTTTTTTTTAAAAAAATTAGTCATGCCACTACTTTATTATCAGAAATAGAATGTACATATTACATGTTTTTGTTTTTATCTATAGAACTTTGTCTACCTTATAAATGAAGTGTGACTCATCCGGTTACTATTTAGTATCAATATGCAACTAGTCTTGTGTATTTAACCTTCTTGGGTCTTTGTAACCTATCTCAGATCACCGGCCAGGTACCACCACATATTTTTATTCATATATATTCCACATATATACTACTGTACAAATCCTACCAATTACCTCTATCCTTCTATATATAGCATTACTCCCAAACTGCTTCTTGTATTACTTCCAAATTGGTGTCCTAGAGGTGGATGCTATTGGTGCTTCCAGTTTGGTGTCCTCAGAAAACACTTTGTAAGTATGTTATAGTCATCCCAGGTCCCTCCCCCTGCAGTGTTGCAGTTCCCTACATGTACTTCATAGGCGTTAACATTCTACACAGCCAATTCAGGCTACTATCTCTTTTATAGTACTACCATCACTCATGGTATTACAGAAGCCTAGAACCTTAGGACGGGAGTTAAAAACCTCTTT